GGAGCTGCGATTCTTGACAAACTTCTGATCGTTGTAAATAAGAACTGTGCGTCCTCGCTGGCCCGTCCCGAAGACCGCGATCTCTGCAAAAGATTGAACAGACATTAGCAAATGAGATGAAAGGTATGCATGCTCAATATACGATATATAACATAAGAGAAGTGCTATAATCATAAGGCTAGCTACGTTAGGGATTGTGCGAACATTTATTAAGAATATCAGAGATTCAAATTCATATAGATTAATATTTCCAATTTAGGCGTGGTTATGAACGCCCGATATGGCGACGTAGGTGGGCTTTTTGCTGTTGGTAATCATATACACTTTACAGTTTAGACGCTTTTGACTGCATGACCAATAGACAGTGTCCTCGTAGTAACAACGACGCGTAAAACGCTGATCATCATAGATGAGCACATCCCCACTGAGAGTGTGCTCATAGCGCACTCGATCCCAATCATCCAGGGTGCGAGTGAGTTGGTTCTTGCTGGATAGGCCACAGCGTATATTCTGCTGGCGTCGCGATCCACATCGAGAACGTGATCGGGGCAGAAAGCTCTCGTTGCCATAGTCACCCAAAATATTCGGATCCAGCGGAAAAAGCGCTGCAAAAAGAAAGCGAGAGATTAATGGATGTCTTAAAAGCAAAAATGGCTCGAAGACAGCAGTATGACTAAAAGTAAAAGATTTGATTCATTGATTTCAGTAACTTATATTTGGTAGATCATAAATTAAAAAACATTTTAAAATACGAATAAAAATAGAAACGTTCAATGGCTAAAAGTAAAACATATGGGAAATAAATTAGGAAATTAAAAGAAATTAGAATTTAGAAAGTAAATAAGTTAAAGCAATCCCTTACCTGTTCTCAGTAATAATCTCTCCAGTTAAATAAAAATCTTTCATATACTTTAATTAGTTAATTTAGTGATTGTGCATGCCGCTGATGGCGTAACGGATCTGTCCAGTGCCCGTGGTGCTGGTTATGATGCGAGCTCGGCATTGCTTGCGCCATTTGCTGCACTTCCAATAGACCTTATCCTTGTAGGCAGCATTGCGCAAGTATCGGTGCCCGCCGCTGTGAAGGACGCAATTTCCTGCGGGAGTCTTGATATATTGTATGTCATCCATGGGCTTGGCCTGGCGAATGCGCTTGGACATCGGCCATGGCAGCGTGGGAGCTGAAGCACGGCGATTCTGCACTGCAAAGGACACGCAAAATATGACATGTTAGTGTTAATCAATTACAGTTATTAGTTATTATTATATTATTTATGTAAGATGAAATAAATTGGGCATATTCTCCATAAAATTTCTTATGCACTGCAATTTATTTTGAATTAATTAGTAAATTCTCTTAGCCTAAGGTTATTTAGCTATTCCAGCTGTTGCAGATCCTCAATGCTGAGATTAAGCGAACGCAGCTCCAGCGTCAAATCCTCCTCAGCTTCCGTTTTGACAAAGCCCGATGCAAGAACTGCCTTAATGGCCGACTTGTGATTCGGCTTGAGCAGGGGAGTGACCAAGGACAAACGCTTCTTGCGATCGAAGTTCAGGCAGGTGTGATGACAGGACTCCAACACAATCTTATGCACGCCCTCAATCACATTGGTAACAACGCGTGCGCTGCACTTGGTGCTGCCCTACGTGATCGATAGAAACTGAGTGTTAATAACAGCTTGAAGAGATACGTTATTGAACTATCTCTTACGAACTTACCTTTTTGGAACAGATCCAGTAGGTCTTCAGGCCGCTGCGTCGATTCCGCACATAGTTGTGTCCATTGAAGGCCAACAGCTTGCAGCCACGCTGGCCTCGCACAAAGGATAACAATGAGTGTTTGATTTCGCCCCGGCTCATGTCCTCCAGATCGTCTGTGAAGGGAGTTGGAGAATGTTTAGTGGGATTGGTAAAGATATTAGCAAATTACGAGGCTTAGCTTAAGTCAAATTTAACAGGCATTTCAGGTGAATTTTCGTTTTATTTAATTGCTTTTTGCTAAGGACTAAAAACAGGACTAGTATGGCGGATGGTTGTGCTGGCTGCACTTGACAATCACATCGCGATCCTCCACGGTAACGACGCGCGCTTTGCACTTGTGAGCGCCAGCGCGTGCACAGGACCAATAGGTCTTCAAGCCGGTCGCTTTATTCCGGGTGAAGGTGAACTCGCCGATCTTCAGCTTGCGACTGCCACGAAAGCCCGTAATGTAGGAGTAATAGTTGGGATCTACAATAAGGTAAGAAGGAGAGAGAGAGAACGTACAAGCAATTAGTAAAGATCATAGAGTGGAACAAATATATAAAATTGAAAAATTGCAGGCAGTATATATACACATTGAGCACGTCTCTAACTAGGCATTTATTTAACACATATTGAGAGTATGCGATATATATATATATATATACATATATATGACTATATATATGTATAGCGTGTCTTTACGTATATACAGTTGACTTAAGACTAACTAATTCAAACGTTTTCCTCCACTTTCACGTCGTCCTTGTGCGCTCGAGCTGCTGCCTCCGCCCGCTGGCGCTTCAGTGAGCCATATTTGCGCGCCTTCGAGATGACCTCGTGGTTGTGCTCGCTGTTGAGAATGGTGAGTGTATCCAGCTTGGTCTTGAGCCGGGCACGACAGCGCAGAACCGCAAACTGGCTGCACCGCCAGTAGGTGACATCCTCGCGGGTAATGTGCCGGTTGAAGGTGTGATTCTTCAGCATTATCTGCTTGGTGCCATACTTGCTGACGATAAAAAAGGGCGAGCTGTTCTCGCCGCTGCTGCTACTGGTGCTGCCTCCAGTTCCGCTAGCGTTGCGTCGGCTCTGACACTCGATCTGCGAATCGTCTTCTTCGCCGTCCAAGCTGATCGGATAGTCGAACTTGACTGCAATTAAACAAAGAATGGATTCAGAGAGTTGCATCTAGTTGCTGCTGCTGCTACTGCTGATGCTACTACTGCGGCTGCTGCTGCTGCAGAAATAAAAGACGAGGCTTGGCTTTTCGATTACAACTTTTCATTTCAACCAGTTACAGTTGCTTAGTCTAAGGTTAAGACTATGCTTAACTAAATATTTGTATAGGCATATGTATTTGTAATCCGTTCGAGCTAGCGGCAGTGCGTCGCATGCCCATTGTACTTGGTCAAGCGTGGCCGGCGACTCAGCTCGACATGCACGTAGTGCGCCGCGCAGTTGGGCGTCACGCAATGGTAGTAGGTGCGATATTGCATGGCACGCGTTTTCTTATAGCACCGTCCATCGATGAGCAGAAACTCGCCGTTGGACGTGCGCCTGAACTTCACAGATGCATCAGCTGTAGGCGATGTGGATTCTGTGGCTGCTGCTTGGTATGGGGATGATATAAATTTCAAATTACGTGTTTTTAGTGCAAGCGCTTAGTATACCTTAAATACTATAAGAAGTCTTAGCTTAGAGAGCACAGTGAAACCCTATTAGAAGCCAACCGCAACAAATTAATAATAATAATAATAATTATTATAAATGAGAAATTACACTTTTTTCATACTTGAGAAATAAATAAATAAATAATTGCTGTTAAAATTGGTGTGAAGCAAACAAAAGTAGGGAAAATACTGCGAATGCATGACTTAGCCGATAAATGGATTATAGCAGGTGCGCTTAGAGTTTTCACTGTACAGTGGTACACAACTAAATAAACTACTAAACGCGTTAATATTCATATTGCATTTTTTCATTAGAGATTTATATATTTTAATATTGCTGTAATAACATTTCCTTGGTCATGAGCTTAGGGGGCAGAGTGTTGCCTGTGAATCGAGGGGGATGGTTATGACGATTTTTGCCCAGCTTAATGCCCCCCTCGAATTTGGTTATGGCACGGGCGGAGCATTTGTTCTCATTGAGTCGCTTGCCATTGCCATCGGAGCAGATCCAATTGATGGTGGCACGAAAGCTGGCCTCCTTCTTGTACATGTAGCCATTGAAGATCAGGTTATAGCCCTGCTTTTGGTTGCGCGTGAAGAAATAATCGTATTTGGTTATCCAGACGCTATTCGGGAGCTCCGCTATGAATTGTCCATTCTGGGCGGTGATTGCGCCTGCAATGGCATATGAAAAAGGGGAAATTTGTGTTTGGGTCCTCTGAGTTGATTCTTGATTGTGTCCTTAAAATCACTTAGATTAGAGCAAAACACAACGTTTGAAGGCAGCAAATATTTTATTCAGGGTATACATACATACATACATACATACATATAGACAAATATACGATAGACTAAAACAGTTTACATTGCAATTCGTAGCATCTATGGTAGTTAGAAGAGTAGGAGCACTTACCATTGCTATCCCTTTAGCTTAAGTCCCTTGTTTAATTCAAATTAACTGACATTTTTGTCAAAATAAAAACATATTTGTTGTTCAACAACTCTCACAACACTCGAAGAACGCAAAAGATAATGAGCGCACTGCATCCAGGTTTCGGCGATGCATTGACATTTGATCACATTTTACACATGTAGCACATTCAGTACAACTGCACAAATACACTTTAATTATTTTGCACATTTTAAATAAGAACTTTTCAGAACGGTTTTTGTAAAATTTATTAGCAAGCAAAACCAAGCGTAGCCAATCGCGGCGAAAAATCACTAGAATGCGGCGAAATACTGACAAGATGGCTGACTCGTAATTGTATTGATACAGCAACGCTACCTTCAACGCCGTTGCCACTTAAAAGTGCTAATATGTAGCGAAAATGATATAAGTTTAGAAGCAATTTATGCTTAATGTACTCAGCAACTGATATTATTCAACAAAAATGGTTTATAACACATTTCTTAATATGAATCCTTACGGGCTGGTCCAAGTTTTGTGGCATGCCATGCATATTTTTAATTTTTCCACAGATATTGATATATGTATATATCATATACAGCTAACCAATATAGAGCTAACCAATATACAGCTAACCAATAATAATTACAGTTTATTTACAATGTAATCAGTTGATTACATATCTGAATTGGACCAACTTTGGTACATTTGTACCGCATGTGTGGCAACTGTGTGCTTTATTGCGAGCAGGTGGCAACACCTGAAACGCAAGTACAGTGCTTCTTCTTAATTTGTGATTTACATTTACAGCGCATTTATAATTTTTTTTTTTTTTTATTTTATTATTTAATAAATTCACTCAAACTTTTAAACTTGTGTTTTATTTTATTTTCGTTAAGCTGCTTTCATTCTGAGCCGAATTTATTTAACCTCGTTTCTCTATCACACCTCGTTATAACTACAGCCACAGCCACATCTACATCGGTCGCTCCACAGGTAATTCCTCCACGTAAACGCGGTCGCCCTAAAACAAAGGTAGACGATGCCCAGCCGAAACTCAAACTGCTCGATAAGCTCAAGGCTGCCACTGAGAATCAAGCTGCCAGCAGGCCAGCTGTATATGCCTCCACCACTAAAGGTAAGTCCACTTGTTGCCTTCATTAAAAGAAAGTCGTCGATATTAATTAGAAATTTACTCTTGCGCAGGTGGCGTAAAACTGGTCTATGAGGGGCATCTGTTTAAGTTTTCGTTCCGCAAGGCCGAATTCTCAGTGTTCCAGTGCTGTTTCAGAGAGCACGGAGAGGAGTGCAAAGTGCGCGTCGTATGCGACCAGAAGAATGTCTTTCCCTTCGATGGAGAACACGTGCACTTCATGCAGGCCAGCGATAAAAGCGTCACTTCATCCCAATTCATGCCTGGCGAGGGAATTGTCAAACCTGCGGAGCCCAAGCCGGAGGCAAAAGTGGAAATACTTATACAAAAGAGCTCAACGAATGACGAGAACGCGGATGAAGAGGAGGAGGGCGAAGTTTTTGAAATACATGAAATTGAGGAGGCTGAATTGAGTGAAGCTGCAGCTGACGGAGGAACAGTGGAAAACTCGACTCCAAAGCCCGCTCAGAACGAAGAAGTCGATCCAACCGATTTCCGTGAGCGGATAAAACGTCGCCTGCAGAAAGCTCTGCAGAACAAGAAGAAATAACAAATGGGACAAAATCTGGATGCTTACCTATATAAATTCGATTTATACATGTTTTACACTATACACTATATGCAATTACACATATATATATATTTTACTTAATAATCACGTTTCGAGCAAATTCGCAAGCTGCTCGTTATACAAAAGCACAAAGCAATACAATATTCTTTAAGCAAATCATTTTTGTAATAAACTTTGATGACAATAAAGCCGAGATTCCAATTTAAATATCTAGCACGTAAGCAATACACCAACTCTAGAAATTATCTACAACTCTCTATATTTTCTGGCCATTTATAGGAGTAACTTCATAATTTAACTCATATCTCTCTTACTTCCTTTGCAGTGACGCAACACGTCCACAATTGCGGCCCACAGACGTTTCTCATTAGCCGCAAGGGCGGGACCTTGCTGACCATCAACAACTTCGTCTATCGCTCCAATCTGAAGTTTTATGGCAAGAGTAATGACATATTGTACTGGGAGTGCGTTCAGAATCGATCCATGAAGTGCCGCAGCCGTTTGAAGACCATCGGCGATGATCTCTATGTAACGAATGGTTTGTGCTAAATGGAAATGGAACTGCCGAGGGCTCATTGATTATATTATTATGTTTCTCTTGTAGATGTGCACAATCACATGGGCGACACGAAGCGTATTGAGGCAGCCAAAGCTTCGGGCATGCTTATACACAAGAAGCTGAGCTCTCTAACCGCTGCGGATCGCATTCATGGCTGGAATCGGGCCGATCAAGTCGATCAAATGGTTAAGTTTGAAGGAACGTAGATAAGTCTATCGAATGAGCCTTGGAATACTTGTTCAACTAAATACTTACGTCAAGCATTCACGTGCCTGAGATTAACGAGGAGCGAAAAATTTCAACTTAAATGCAAATATGTTTATTTGAGAAATTGTTCTTTTATTTATTATTTTTATTTTTTTGTATGTAAAGTATTAAAAAGACATACTTTTAGTTTAGACAACAAATTTGACTAACTGTTTGGCATAAGCAATGCAGTTGCTATATTTTATTTTTATAGCCAACATTTATTTACATATATACCCACTAGGAGGAAGTGAAATAGGTTACAAAACATGAAGAAACCTGAATAATACTTGATTCAGTATGTGCAAATGTCTAGAAAATATCTCTCTGTGTATAATTAAATGCATTGAGGCATTTTCATTACAATCATATATGTATATGAGAATACACTATGATTGTCAATTAAAATTAATTTACTTAAATTTAATTTTTCAAACTTTTTATTTGATGTTAAAAATGGTACATTTTTCTAACTTTATATGCATCATATTACTGTATCACTAAACAATCTAAATTTACTATGCAGTATAATTTTTGACATTTAAATATATGTAGGTAAAATAATGTAGAGACAATAGGGAGACAATCAAGACCAACACAATTAAAATAGTGCACATACTATAAATCTAATTAACCTCAAATATGGCTAAACATTTCTTGTATTTCTTATTCCTGGCTGACGATTTGCTTGATTTGCTTCTTCTTGAAGTAGGATGACTTTGTGTTAACATTGCGATGTATGTGGGCGGCGCACGAGAAACGGTATTTGATCTCCGTGCCCATGGCGAAGGTGAAGACACGCGCCTTGCATCCCTTTGAGTGCTGCGAGCAGCGCCACGTTCCAATCTTGCCGACGCCTCGGTGGGATATGAATTGGTTTTGGCCAATTATCAGCTTTGGATGATTGCGAGCGGTGGGCACGAAGACTGCGGTGCCGTCGTAGTCCCTGTGCTTGCGTCTGCGAGAGCGACCTGGAATGACAAATTATTCGTTTTTGATTAATTTCGACTTAAGCTCAAATTCTATGGGAAGTTTAATTAAAATGAATCAGTGACGTTTAAATATTTTTATTGCATTTCTCCTTACATGTTTGGTTCGATTTGGAAAATGAAGCATTAAATCTACAAATAAAAATCCATTTTACTCCGCTTGATTTTTGACGAAGTCTCAGTGCATACATAACAACTTTGGCATTGTCCCATTTTGTTCTTTGATTGTATATAAAATCACAGATTTTGTGTAATTTGCAGGAGTGGACCCTGATGGTTTTGATGGCATTCATCCAATTGGTTAAATTCTTAAAATTCACTTTGAAGGTGGCGATGCCATCATTCAGTTACACCATATTTTTGCCCTCAGGTTGCAGCTGCAAGAGATTGAGAAGAAAAAACTTTTGAGAGGTTAAAAGCAGATTTTAGATTTCTCAATAGATAGGTTGAGGGCTCGTTGTATTGGCTGGCCGGTGTATATATAACTGCATACAAAAGAGAAGTTAACTTAATGGTTACATGTACCTCTATGTCTTAACTTTAACATTAAGCCTCATACAAATGAAAGGTGTGTTGTGGACTTTATTATATACAAGCATCCTCACTTTGCATCTAGACTAAAGCTAATTATATACAAACATCTTGAACTAAATTTAAATAGAAACTTACTCAACTAACTTTGATTTCGCATTACAATTAAAACTTACATTTACAATTAACTTAATTGACAATTTATACAAAATATATATGTATATATCAAAGACTTTGACAAAGTTGCACTTAGGTATAGGTACTCAACGACTTCCAACGCAGCCTTGGCTAGTACTCCTTGCTAATGTAGACAGCGCCGTGGCCAGGATTGATGGCCTGCAGCTGCGGCAGTGCTGCACCTGGCTGTTGCCTGTGATGCTGGTGATGCATCAGCGCCATCATTTGCGGCGCCTGCACGGTCACCGGCATGGATAGCGGCATAGCCAACGGCATGGGCACGGACAAATGAGCTGTGCTCGTGGCATACGCTTGCGGCACAGGCGGGGGCGGTGGCTGCTGCTGCTCTATGGCACTGGACATTGCATTGTGTATGGCAGGCTTGGTATTCAAACTACCGCTCCCACTGACATTGCTTTTAGCCTGGCAGTAGAGCTGGCAGAGCGGCAACAGCTCCTTGTGGCGTCGCTTGATATGGCTGAGGAAGTTGCCCGTCGACTTGGTGGTTCCCGAGATCAAGCCGAAGCAGCTGGTGCAGGTGGCCTGTATGGCACCGGGCGTCTTTTGATTGGGCTGTATATTCTTATAGAACTTACCGTCAAGTATTTTCGGCAGTGTATACGGCTTCCTTATAGCCATGGTGTCGTCGTCGCTCAGATACGCTGCAGCGAAGGCGGCCACACAAGCGTCGGTCTCCAACACAGGCGTAGGAGTCGCTGATGCCTCCGAACTGAGCTCCACTTTGACATCAACTGAAAATAAAAAGTGTAGTAGATTAGTAAATGCGCTCTATTAACTGATGCGTGCGACAGTGAAACGAGAACATGAAGACTTTCATGTGTCTAAATACATTTATTTCCAGTTATAGATATCTTAGGCTAAACAAAGATAAGTGTTAAATATTATATATTAATCTATTGCAGCGCGGACAGCTCATCAAGAATCTCTACAGTGAGCTCCGGCGAACTACACTCGTCAGCCTTCACCTCTGGGTCATGGGTGTGGGGAGCGCCGGCAATACGCAAAGTGACGTCGTTCACCTTGGAAGTCACCAGGGTGGCTCGACAGCAATGCTTCACGTAGCGCGAGCAGCGCCAGAACACGTTCTTCAAGCTCTGCCTGTTCACCACATATCTGTAACCGTTGTAGATGAGCATTATGCGACCGCGCTGCGTTGTAGTGTATTGTATATTGGTGCAGGTGTTTTTGTCCTCGAAGAGCGCCTTGATGGACTGCATTACACCTACAAGTAAAGAAAACATGTTGAACAGATGTTAGAGGGTTGGAGAGTTAGAGCACACATATACAGAGACAAGGATTATACATCACAAACGGGTTGGGTGATATATAGTAGGGTATTAACAAATTCATCTACAACATTTTATTTCAGTTATAACAATTAAACATACAAAGTAGAAATTCTTGTGTAATATAGAGAAAAATAGAATCTCCTAGCTACCGCCTGAGTTAGCCTGGTTTGCTTTGATCGTGGCCAATTTGTGATCGATGTACTCCTGGACATTGGATTCATTCAGTTTGGAGCTAGCTACCGCCTGAGTTTGCCAGGTTTGCTTTGATCGTGGCTAATTTGTGATCGATGTACTCCTGGACATTGGATTCATTCAGTTTTTCGCCGCGCCGGGCGAACACCTGGCATACATGGGCTGTGAATGGAACAGAAATCATATTCATATACACATAATAATGTGGGCTATTCTCTATATACTTATAATGGCATGGAACGTTTCCTTTTCTGGCTGCTGTTCGCCCAGAGCAATGCGCTTTAGCTTGTCCTTACCAATGACCAGATCGGTAACACGTGACGTGTATATCGGCGGAATGGGCACAAAAAGCTTAGCTAAATCGGTTTTCGACACAAACACATCGCTGCCGGCAAATAGTGGTATCGGTGCATCCTTATTTGATTTTATGGTTATATCCGTTTCCTTTTCCCTTGATTTCTTTTTCTTGCCTTTCTTTTCTGCAAGTGTACACGATTATTAGGAAGTCATAAATATTTTTAACAATAAACATAATAAATAATAATTTAAGTTATAAAAAAAACAACACACACATTAAATGTTTCGCTTCAGTTTTTATTTAACATTTTATAATAAATATGTTTATAAAGATATCCTACATTTACGTAGCGAACGTATCTGTGTGCACGCGACGTGCGTGTTATTTTAGTAACAACAATGCACATTATGTTAATACACTAAACGAACTATTAAGTACAAATGCACAATTTGTATTTTATTAAAACACAATACAAATTATTTCTAATTATTATTCACATTTCAACAAAGTTGAAAAAAATGTCTGCCTTTTGGGCAAGCTGCTGTAAGCACACACACACAACCGTACGAACAATAAAAATGCTACACAGGGTTGCTTAGCGCGGGAAATGGTGGCAGCGCTGCCAAACCATGTGGCAACGCCAAGATTCGCCGCAGTTGAGAAAACAGAATTGTAGTAATTGCTGCAAAAAATAATTGTAACTTTGTTTAGAAAAAAAAAAAAAAAAACATATACAAGTCGAAACCCGCACAGAAAATGTAGTTGTACGATGCGCAGATTGAGTAAAAGTGCTAGAGTGCGTAGTACTTGTGTAATAATGATGTCAAACGGGATGTATGTACGTGTAGTATCTTTGTGTTTGTGTTGTTTGTAGAATTAAACAATGTTTGTGTACAAATTATGGCATCGCATCTGTGAAATTGTCAGGGATCTAAAATCGAAACCTTAGAATTGCCTTTGTTAATGTGTGGATAATCGATAAGTTCATAAAATGAAATTTACACACTTGTTAGCTTAGTAGCCTCCCCTAAAAATAAATGCAACTATCTCAGCTTGCTCCCTTAGAAATGGAGATTGCATTACGATCTAGTAATAAAGTGCGTAGGTTTTTAGCGCCACTATTATGTTCTCTCTTAAACCTGTTCTGTATAAACTGAAATAATTTAATATGCTATGAACATTTTGGTGCTATTGCATTTAAAGGGCCTTGTGTTATAATACTTCTACGCGCCATAATAATGTTTATGGTAGCCGCTGTTAAGCTATTAAAATTTCTACTAATGTTTTTGTTGCGCATTTTCTCCACAGCGCTATCAAATCTGCATATGTTTATGTTAATGATAGTCAAAACCCCAATCAGAAGTTGTATACTAATGTATATGGACTTCTCACTATGCTCTATACGAATACTATAAAAATTGATAATATAATAATTATAGTGCACACTGTTTTCAAAGTTACAAAATCGCGGAATACCAATGCTCATAAGCCATATAACCGCGATATAAACACTTCGCATTATTACAGCCATTAAAATAAATGTATTAAAAGGTAAGGTATGGTCATATTAAATATATCATTATCAAAACTAAAATAAAAAGATACAATTTCAACAACAATGTTATTGTTAAAATAGCTTTAAGTTTGTCTAGAATCTAAGGATGTAAGCCTAAATATATAAAAGAAATCAATAAAATCAAGTAATTATTGAATATAGTGGATGGAATTTTGATTCATATTAAGGCCAGTGAAGTAGTCTATAATATAGTCAACGCTAACTGTTAACTTTCCATTTTCAGACTCGTTAGCGGACTATAAGATCCAGCTGCCATTGGCGAAACGTAAACTTGGACGAAAGGAGAACTTCGATCATTTGGACGTTTGCTTCACGCGCAGCAATCGCGGCAACAACTTGCTGACCATCAATGGGAAGCCGTTCACTCTGAACCGCAGGATCAAGGACGCCTGCTATTGGGAATGCGTGAAGCTGCGCTGCAAATACATCAAGTGTACAGCTAGAGTAGTAACCAAATCCAATCAGATATCCGCTCTGCGTGGGCAGCACAATCACCCATAGAAAGCAAGACACAAATAAATCTGATTTTTGTTCAAATTTAAAAGAAACGAACTTCAATTCTTTGTACTCGGAGGCAAATTCTTTGTCAGCCCACACCTAATTATTTCTGGTATTTGCAGATGATCCTCGGCTGGCACGCAGCAACAGTAGTGGTGGCTATCGCCTCGTGGCCAATCGTCGAGGAGGCCAGAATCTCTTGTACAATGGACATATGTACACCGTGGAGCGCAAGTATCTGACGACCATCAACTGGGTCTGTGCGAAGAATGGCAACGTGAAGCTGCGCTGCCCGGCGCGCTGCGTGACCAACTCGAATCGCAGCATCAAGCTTAGTCACCGCAAACACAATCATCCCAGCAATCTGTACCAAATACACAAGTCTCGAACTAGGCCGTAATAAACAGCTGCTCTGTACATACATACATAACTCGAGACAATTTTCAATTGTAATACTCGACTATCTGGATATCGACCTCGATCTATCTATGACTAACTTCCACCTGCTGCTCATCATGCCTTACTAATCCATTCTCTTTCGCTCACTTCTTGCCTTTGCATGACGCAGCTGCCAGGCGACGAGGCATCTGCATTAAGGGACGCCCCGGCTGCCTGCTTATCGATGGATATCGATTTGTGATCAGCTACCAGCAACGCCACCGCTGCTATCTGAAGTGCTCCAACTTCCGTAGCCAGTGTCGAGCCCGCGCCATTCAGAACAAGCTGACGGGGCAGCTGCAGCTGCGTAACGCCAGTCACAATCACAAACGCACGTCGTTAACTTGAGCAAGTACACTCTCACATACAAACGCACACACACACATCCACACACATGTATAATAAATCGTTTTTCGTATGCAAATTGAGTCGCCTGCTTTTCACTAATAAAATTCATGCCCCATCAGTAATCTAAATAATTATGATAATAGTAAAATTATCCATTTAAATATAAGTATTTGTTTAACCATGTTCACTCTCTTGCTGCTTTTAGGTACGCCTCCTGTCAATCTGGCCCAGTATGTGAGATCGAGTCGCGGCACGGATCTGGTATTCTTTGAAGGCAACACCTACACTCCCAACGAGAAGCTGCGGGAGGGACAAAAGTCGCGGGACTGGAAGTGCTCCATGTACCACAAGGCCAAGTGTCGCGCTCGCCTGAACACGCGGATCACCGACCTGGGCGATCTGATTCACATGACCAGCCAGAAACACACGCACACGCCCATGTATCTGCTGCAGCAGGAGGGGACAGCAGGAGATATGAGGAAACTGAGCCTTACTCGCAATCTACAATGCGACGGCCTACGCACCGCCAAGGGCAACTAATCTTAGGTGGCGAAGACACTAAATAAAACTTGATTTTCCTTCATTTGATATAATTTTATTGCTGATTAAAACTAAATGCTTTATGATAAAGACTACATCAGTTGATGCCTTCCACTAATGTATTTATCTGTCTCCCATTTGTAGACGAGCTCTCTGGCTACCTGACCGTGGAGATGGTGACCAATGCGCAGGGAAAGCGCTCGCTGGTCAAGTGCCCCAAGCTCCGCTTCATTCGGGGCCAGCGCAAATCCGTACAGCTGCTCTACAGTCAATACGCGTATGCGAAGAACAACCAGCACGGCCCGACTACCTATTGGAACTGTCGCATACGACGCACGGGACTGCCACCTTGCAATGCTCGGCTGTCCACGACGAAGCTGCTCAACGGCAGCTACAAGGTGTGCCTGACCCGGCCGGAGCACAACCATCCGCCCTCGAAGCGCATCGCACGCATGCTGCAAGATTTTAGAGTTTAAGCTGAGAAACAAAATATATTTACGCCCTGAGGCGAAACGACTTGAATAAGACTTATTTAATTAAATTACTAGGCTAAGTTCATTTGCAATAAGTTTAACTAATTGATTGTTTGTTTACTTTTGAATGTGTAGAGAACAGCGTCGCGATATATTCGGCCACGTCGCGGGGTCGCATGCAGCTCATCTATGGCGGCCAGCCATTCATCTTCGAGAAGACTCTGAAGCTGTCCACGGGCGAGGAGAAGCGCTACTGGCGCTGCAATCAATGGTGGAATCAGAAGTGCCGATCCCGAGTGTTCACAATCAACGATATTGTGTGTCCACTGAATCGCTTCCACACGCATGAAGAGATTGTGCGACGGAAGAAGCGAGTGAGGCGCATCCAACCCGCGCAGGAGCAGAGCAATGCGAATGCCAAGACGTATTCCACAGCAGCCGCATCTAGGCAAGAACAACAGCAACAGCAGCAGCAACAGGTGCAGGTGCAGCACGACCAACAGCAACAACAGCAGCACCTTCACCACACGCAGCAGCTGTCGACCGATGCGATGCTGGGCACAGCGCTGAGTGACGAGGCAGCGGGCACCATCGACGTCAACGACCTGGGCATGCATTTAAAGTACGAGGAGATCGTGGCCGACGTGACGGGCATTGTGGGAGGACATACGCATGCACCCGTGCTGAGTCGCAAGAAGTGAGCATGAGCTGGACGAGCACAAGCAAAAGCATAAGGAGAGGAAGAAGGAAAAGGGTGTCTGTAGTTCGTAGTAATTAAAATGTCTATTATTACATTCAAGCTTCTATAGTGCATATACACATTATTCGAGTAAACGCAATTTTAATAAACTTAGCTAAGGCTTCAACAGCAACCGAGTGATTCGATATACATGTATAATCTACACATCCAATGTATAAACCCCACCTGCTTCTCTATGTCCATACACACACTCTCTATCGTTCTCCGTCTCTTGCAGCGGCTGTCTTCTACTACACCAAGGGCCAGAGGAAGTCCATCAAACTGAACTATGGCGGCCACAGCTATGTGAAGTTCATGGAGAACAGTCGCGGCACCAAATGGATCTGTGCCACGCGTTCCACCACCAAGTGTCGCGCACGCGTCCGCACCAAGGGAGAGATTCTGGAGGTGCTGCACGGCCCACACAATCATCAGATCTGCCGGCGACACTGCGAACGTGCCAAACAACGAAAAACTGCCAGCCAATCCTAACTCGCACGAAATTTATGGGAATCCGATTTCTACATGAAAAAATATGTGTCTATATTTTATAAATCCTATTTATACGAGCTGAGAATAAGAATTAGGATAAGCCAATATCAGAATCTATAAATATATATTTTGTGCAATGTTAGCTCAAGACAACAGTTGAGATTCAAATCGAGAAATATATTTTATTCAAAGATCATAATCAGCTTATTTAAATCTAAATAGTAATAGAACGTAAAAGTTATGAAATTAATTAGCCATAGTTGAAAATATGTCTGAATGTAAAAACGTAAATAATAAAGTAAAGTAGCATCCGATTGCCTGCTAAGTATATAGTAATAGCTTCCGCATCGAATCAAATATTAATATATTGAAATTGTTTTTAGTATATATAGTCGATTGCTAATGCTAATGGAGCTCCTCAAAGCACGGCTCGCACATCCAGTTGCTGCCTGGACAGCTGTCACAGCAAGTGCTCAGACGTTGCAGATCGGATTTGCCCTTCTTCAGGCATGTCACACATTTGCCCTTCATACGGGGCACGCCCACAAATACAAAATTGTGTTGATTGCTAGAGGTACGTAAGATGTTCTCCGGATTGCTTAAGTTCAATTTGGCTCTCACGGGCTCCACAACATGGGCAATGGATTTAACGGGACTTATACTCAAGCTTATAGTTGTTGGCCGTCGCTTAACAGCTCTTGCTTCCGGCAGCAATTGCTTGATGCTTACACGCGGCACGGGCACACGCTGAGGATCACGACGTACTGCAAAGGTGTTGCTCGCATTCGGAGTTCGTGTTCTGTGTGTGTAGGTGTATTCTGCAAGAGACGAGTTTTTAGTTTAGAATTATGTTTGGGAATGGATATGAATTTACAGTCTATCTATAGTTAAAGTAGGATTATATGACAAAGTTTATATAGAAAAAGTTTTTATTAAGTACGAGCATAGTAAATTCAATAGATAGTATCCAGTTTCAAGTCTTTTATCAAGTTCTCATGCATTCGAAATGGTCTGACAATTCGTAGGACAGTCTCTGTAAGAATCGTAAGTATTATATTAGCTAATCGAAGGATTATTAAACTCAATTACAATTACAATATGTATGCCTTAATAAGTATATGCTTAATAAGCTCTATGCATAAATGTCCAGCATTGTATTCGTCGTATTAAAGTAGAAGACAGAATTCCTTGATCGTAGAAATTATCAAAAAGTAGCCATTGCGAGAATCTAAAGAAAGGGATAAATCTTTAAATTAGTCCACAAACTTTTAAAGGCAATTACTATTACACAATCTCTATGGCGTGTAAACTCTGGGTATGAACGTTTTTAGTGGCTGTGGTGCAGCATGATTGTGGCTGCCGCGCAGCCCAGTGATTGCTTTCCTCTTGGTAGTCAGCGCAGCCTTGCAGCCCAGTTTCTTGTGGAAGCTGCAACGCCAAAAGGCCATGCACCGTGGCACATTCCTGGAGTGGCAGCTGTATGTGTGAGCCTCGTAGACCAGCTGACCGCGATAATTGTAGCTCAGCTCTGTAAAATAGTGGCAAGATGTGAGTTCATTGGGTAACATTGATTATAGTTAGGCACTTACTACTGGAGATCACAGAGAGAGATTATAAATCTTGAACTAAGAGTCTACATGTTGGGCTTTATTTGAAATCATGCTTAGAAACTAAATTGCACTCGATATAAACTAAAAGCCATGGCCGCCTCTGCCTAGTCCTGCATGAGCATGAGTGAGGCGTGCATTAGGTCACGATCGGTTAGCTGCACGTCCGTGGACAGAAAGCGGAGCGGCTGCGGCTGCTGTATCAAGAGCTCTTGCTTAGGCTGCTCCACCTGGTACTGGGTTATGCAAGGCACGCGACTCAGCTTCGTACGCGACGTGGTGCTGACAGCGGCCAGACGATTGCGTTGAATTATCTTCTCAATCTTCTCGGTGTGCGGCGCATGATTGTGCAGCCCTCCGGTTATACTCTTTAGCTTGCCGTTTTCGAGGACGCAGCGGGAGCGACAGCGCTGCTCGTGCACCTTCTTGGAATAGTTGTGGCAGCGCCAGTACTCCTTGCTATTCTTCCTGCTGTGGCAATTGTACATGAAGCCATTGAGGACCAGGCACGGCGTCGACCAGGGGCTCTCAATGAAGAGCAGTTCGCTGCCATCTGCAAAGGAGGGAGTTACAAATAGGTAATTAGCAATGATATATAAAGGTCGAGACTTCATGGTGTATATGCTATATACATCAAATTAGTGAGATAACTAGTTTTTGGGTTATTTTAGATTGACTTTTATTGAAGAGACATTTGATATAGTATAATTTAATTTAAAGGTTAATTTGCTTTATGTTTTGGTTAAGTTTAGCATTTGCTGTAGCTTCACTTTCTGCATGGGCTTCAGCTCGACGACCTGCTCGATCATCTCATCCTCCTCGTCGTCAGCAGCGTCGACTAACGCTTGCATCTCGATCTCTGTTGCCTCCGAGGCGGGCACGTACAGCTTGCACTCCTTGCCATCCTTGGCGGTCATGATGCTTATGTTGCTGCTGCTCAAGTACTGCGATATCTTTGGGTTCGATGTGCATATCTCAATGTACTCGTCCAACTCCTCCTCCACATTGTACAGCTGCCTCTGTCCTATGCGACTCGCATGGGATTCGTGGTTGTGCTGACGTCGAGCGTCAACGAACTCTCCGTTCTTTGTGATGACGACCGCCTTGCAGCGCAGCTTGAGCACATCTGCACACCTCCATGTGGTCTGGCCGTTCGCCTGGGTTAACTTCTTGTTGTAGATGTAATCCTTGTAGACTAGCTGCGCGTTCTTCTTTTGGCTGCGTATAAATTTGATTTTGCCAGCTGCATTAACGCGTATACAAAATATAAATACAAAGGGTGAACAAGAATTGTAGAAGAGTGTGAGTTAAAGGTCTGCCTTAGAGCTTAGTGCAATAAATATAGGAGTTACAATTTACGCTTAGACGCTACATTAAATAAAACAACGCACATAAAACAGTTTTCGCATTAAGCATTTTATTATAGCAGAGAACAACAACCACCCAGCACATACACATAATTATTTGTAAGCAAATATTTAACAAGATGCTACTGAGTATATGGAAAGGCGGTTTAGGAGCAATCCAACTTACGGCGAGTCACAACAAAGCTGACAACAGAAAATAATACATATTTTATTACAGCACAGATTCACAGTTATTTCACAGAAGGCATGCACACAAGCTTGGTTCTAATTTCACAGAAAGAAAACACTTTCAACACTTTTCACTTATCGTTGGACTGCTGTTAATGCACATTCAATAAGAGAAACAATCGTAGATTATTGTATATCTACGCACGTATAGTAAAATGAAAATAATTAACGAACCAACGAAAATATGTATTTAGCTTGGTCTTCCGAAGCATCTCTCTGGCGTTGCCACCTCTGGTGAGCACAGAGTTGCACTAGCATAAAATGGTCATTAAAAGAAAAAGGTCTGGCAACACTCACTATCCAATCTCAATTCAATTTATTTCGAAATATTAAACAAAATGAATATACATCAATTTAGCTTTATTATAAACTTGTACGTACCGGTCTTTTGTATTATAACTGAAACCAATAACCACGCGAGCCCGGTGCTCAGTTTCATCAATTATGCTGCTAACGCACTTCAACTCTCACGCAGAAAATCCAAAAGCATTTCCCCCCATTCCAAATAGTTGTCATAATCATTGGCGGCAGTTCCACGAAAAAGTATGTCATCAGCAGTTTTAATATAACAAACGAATACGTTGGCAGCTCCAAGCGGTCAATTTGTTTTGAAAATCTATGCCATGAACGAACACAACAAACTCAATCTGCCCAGCTTTCGCGTATTAATTGAGAAAACGCTCCATATAAATTCTCCTCCATTTACATTTTTTCGCTACCGCAAATCGATTAGCCGCACAAATTCTAAGACTCGGCAATCAATGCCGTTGCTCGAATAACCGTCAGCAAGCTTTTATGTTGCTGCGGCTATTCAAAGCAACATCTTATTTTAACAAGCAAAACAACCACCACCAACGACGCTCTTGGCATTTTCCTTCAGGTGGCAACGCCACATCGAAATCCGTTAACTATGGCCATATATTTTCAGTGCCAGTTTCGGTCCTAGCTAAGAACGTTAATGAAATGCAAAATAGTACAAATCTAACAATATAAAATTACCTGTAATAATAGAGTACCTTTGTTTACAGCTCCAATGGAGTTCAAGCGCATAAGTTCCAAGATCTTCCAGTCCTGTGATACACTCATCGACAGCCGGGAGGTTCAGCTCGCATCAGATTTTACATATATTTTTCACTCTACTTACCTTCGCGGCTAAAACGAATCACAAACGCGAGAGCAGCTACCTTAGCAAAGTGACTTTGCCTCGGTCTGCCGCTCGGCCGCAAACTCTTTTCGGGAAAATAGAGCAGCAGCCTAGCCGTAGCTAATCTTATCTCAACTAAAATGGCTGATAAAACAGCTCTTAAATATGCATTGAATGGTGATGAGGCGCCGATGATATCGCAGCGTATGATTGAAGCAGATTTAAGGGCTCTTTTATAGCCATAAGGCAAAAGTCGAATTGTGAGCTGCACGCTGAATTGGAAGCCCACACATGGACAATTTGAAAAACAGTTACAAATGATGTTTTGCCAATTAAGTAAAGGAAATCTGTGTGCAAGTCACAAGTCCGACTGCCTGGTCATTAAATACTTTATCTATGTCTAATGACAGCCCATCAACAGTCGATGACTGGATCGGGCCATAGTCAAAATGTCAACCAACCTTGAGCCTCTGTGTTGCCTTGATCCGCGCCGGTGTCGACAAACGAAGAGTCACTGTAGCTCTGCGACTGCTGCTTGACAACGGCCTTTGACGTGGTGGCTGCGATGCTGGTGCCTGTGTTGCCACCGGTTTGATTGCCTGCATCTTCGTTCTCGGTGAAATAGCTGTCGTCATAGCGCATGTCGCCGTAGGCATCATCCTCTACGTAGGGCGTATCGCCATCGCCCGCTACCTCGGCATGCTCTTCGCTATAGTCCGGCTCTGACTTTGTGGGCAATTCCATTGGGAGATCAATATATTCAGCTTCCTCT